ATTTTTACTCGATGGCAACTATTTGGTAACGACAGTGAAAATCTAGTAATTAATCGGGCGATTGATAATTAGATTTCTCCTCGGTGGCAACTATCGATTTATCGCCCGATCATTGACCGATTTAACTATTGGTAGTTGCACGACTAGTTGCCATCTAGATTAGTAGTTGGGGGAGGGGACTTTTAACTGCATGTACATCGCCCGATTACAGGCGAAATGTATCTAGATTTTTCCCATAGGTGAGTTGGGGAACGGCCAGACTCTTTCTTATAAACACAAAACGTGGATAGACGTCTAATTAAAGAATTGAGGCATAAAACGCAAACGTCTGAAGTTTCGACCCGGTGAATTGCCATTGAAAAGTCTTCTCCAACGACTTTTTCACAACAACTTTGGAAGCAAAATTTTCTCATAAAAGAGTCAAGAGTTGATGAATTTTTAAGAGTTTCTAGATGTCGCTCGACACAGTGCCATTTTCGGTGATTCAGACACTGATATTTTGCCTAGAAAACCGAAGACATAGCTTCAAATTCAACGAGCCTTTGCGAAGGTGGAGGACAAGAGCAGAGACATTATCATCTCTTACTCTTTTGACTCACCGAGAGATTTAGACTCGGACACGATGATTTTCACCAAGCAAACCCTTCTGACTGTATCCGTGAAAAATTCGAAAATGACTAGAAACATGTCAATTTGAGATCTCTAGATACCTTCTACATTTTTCTTTTGGCAAAAGTGATTGTAGAATTCGACTTGATGAAAAATTATTAATTCGATCGATAAGTGTTAGAGAATGCGGGCAAAAGTCTATTGTAACAGTTTTCTTGCCTATTAATAATTGTTGCTTTGTTTGTTGTTCTAGCATGTTCGTTGGGTGAAGTAGATGCTACGTTTGACGATTTAACACCTACAACAAGTATTGCAGTAATTCCACCCACTTATGATAATTTAACGTGGACAAATGGTCACTATCTGTACGCTGCTTCATATCCCTCGTCTGGTTATCCGTTGCTTGTAACATCGGGTAGTTATACAGGCTGGTATCAAGGTAATTCAATGTTAACCATTCAATCAATAAGCAATACGGACACATTTATATTTAATGAGGTGTACATGATTGCTGGATGGACACCCACACTGACAACATTGATTGCGGGTTATTATGACAGCACACAATTATATAATCAAACAGTTACATTGACTCAAACATCAAAATATCTATTCATTCCCAATTGGTCGGGTATCAATAAGATTACAATGTATACAGCTGGGGCCGCTACTACTTATGATGTTGGTATAGAAAATTTAAAGATCACATATTGCAGTACGGCAACGGTGACTCCACCAGGTAAAATGATTTTTGTTCCTACATAGAAACGATCGAGTATCGCCCGATTTTTACTCGATGGCAACTATTTGGTAACGACAGTGAAAATCTAGTAATTAATCGGGCGATTGATAATTAGATTTCTCCTCGGTGGCAACTATCGATTTATCGCCCGATCATTGACCGATTTAACTATTGGTAGTTGCACGACTAGTTGCCATCTAGATTAGTAGTTGGGGGAGGGGACTTTTAACTGCATGTACATCGCCCGATTACAGGCGAAATGTATCTAGATTTTTCCCATAGGTGAGTTGGGGAACGGCCAGACTCTTTCTTATAAACACAAAACGTGGATAGACGTCTAATTAAAGAATTGAGGCATAAAACGCAAACGTCTGAAGTTTCGACCCGGTGAATTGCCATTGAAAAGTCTTCTCCAACGACTTTTTCACAACAACTTTGGAAGCAAAATTTTCTCATAAAAGAGTCAAGAGTTGATGAATTTTTACCGACTTATCTCCCGAGTATTAATCGATGCAACTATTACTGGTTGCACGAAGAAGGCTACCTACAGCGTTGAACCATCACTGCGGATTCCGATCTGAAACGTGCTTTCGCTGTCGTTGCGCAGCCTATAACATTGCCTAGAATTACAGCACGGCAAAACACTGGTTTCACAGCCGCTGCATATGCGCCGCCAGCACTCGCTGCGACTAAGTCATTCCGATAATTAAACTCACCACTAAAACGTACTCATCCACATACTTTCCCACAGGCGGGCTTCTCTTCCAGCTGCAAAGGATAACCAGGGCTTGCCAAAAATGTCAAAGCGAAACTAGCTAGACACCGACCGGCTACAAACACGATTTGCTTTCAGGATCCACAACACAGACCGTCAAGGCGTCACAAGCAACGCCTGCCAGCTACATAACCCTAAATACAACCGCAACCCCGACTCAACCAGGTAAAATGACTTCAGCTCATACACACAAACGAACGAGTCTCGCCCGATTTTTCAGCTCCAAGAGCAGATAAATTTTCAAGAGTTTCTAGATGTCGCTCGACACAGTGCCATTTTCGGTGATTCAGACACTGATATTTTGCCGAGAAAACCTAAGACATAGCTGCAAATTCAACGAGTCTTTGCGAAGGTGGAGGACAAGAGCAGAGACATTATCATCTCTTACTCTTTTGACTCACCGAGAGATTTAGACTCGGACACGATGATTTTCACCAAGCAAACCCTTCTGACTGTATCCGTGAAAAATTCGAAAATGACTAGAAACATGTCAATTTGAGATCTCTAGATACCTTCTACATTTTTCTTTTGGCAAAAGTGATTGTAGAATTCGACTTGATGAAAAATTATTAATTCGATCGATAAGTGTTAGAGAATACGGGTAGAAGTCTGTTGGCTGAATGGTCGCATATCGGAGGGCGACGAGGGTCACTCCACTCGGTAAAATGATTTGTGACTGTGCGTAGAAGGGAGCGATCGTTGCCAGAGAAATCTGGAATGGTAGAATTTTGCCGGATAGCAAGTGTGTGGTGGGACTGTGAGAGTCTGTTAATTAATCATGTGAGTGCATTTGCGTAAGGAATGTGTCAGCGGTTGTGGGTAGCAGAGTTCTATTGCGTAAACTGTTTGGTAGCGTTTGGTGTCGTGGTTTCTTTTTTTCGGCTTTAGCGTTGAATGTTTTGCCATCTTTAGGCTTTTGTAGCTGACTAGCAGGAGTTTATTATTGCGAAGGATTATAGTTTTGTCCGAGGCGATGGGCTTTTGGGTTCTAGTAGGAAGTATTTTCTATTTTGACTCGACGTCGTTGAAATGTTCGTTTTAGCCTGTGCTTTTGTAAATGTGAGTAATTTGTTGGTGAACCCTGGAGCTGAAACCGAGTTACTTTCACCTTGGGTGATCGATGGTACGTCAGCGCCCGGCATTGACAATGGAACATTTGATGCAAGCATTAAACCGCACAGTGGCGGTTATCAGTTCGGTGGGTTTTCAGGTCAAGCAGTAACACTGACGCAAAATATCGTCATTAGTGGCACTCAAGGCATTACACCTGCTCTCATCGACTCGTGCAAGTTAGCAGCTCACATCTCATTCTGGGAACAAGGACTCAATCAAGGTGCGAATAATGACGATGCGCAGGTTATTTTGGCATTTCTGGATGTGAACAACGTCCTTTTGCAAAATATTAGCACTCCAGAAGTTGATTTCAGTGCGGGGGTATGGGGCCAGTATTCAAATGTATACACCATACCTGTTGGAACACGAAGCATCAATTATACAATGAAATTTATCCGACATTTTGGGACAGATATAGACTCTTTCATAGATGACAACGCGCTCACAATTGTTGAGCAGTAAAAGGTCGATTGGATACATTTTGTGTTGTTAGCTTTTCGAGATGAGGACAGCCATTTCCATCTACATACAAAACGTAACGTTTAGTTGTTTTTTTTGCTGTTTGTCATCGCCGGCTTCTGTCCAAGTCCACAAACTTTTGCCATAAGTAGTATATCCTATGCAACCTGTCACAGGTATAATAAAGTCTCATTAGGACAGAATCCATGATTTTGAGACAATTAGCTTTTTCTGTTCAGTATTTTCATTTGAGAATAATTTTTCTGTAAAATAAAAAGATACCAACTGATCTTAAAATTTTCCGCTTTATGAACATACTTATATATATATATAATCATGGTATTCCTGTGCGAAAGGAAGTAACTATCTAATGTTTCTGTCCACTGAGTACATATGCAGGTTATACCCAAGAGTTTAGTCGTATGACATGTCTACCGAATAAGTGCACATTATTGTTTGAAAAGAAGATCAAACGATACTCGCTTATATGTCTTCATCATAAGCCTAGTTTAGCGACTCGTGGTACATAGCTTCGTTGTATGGAAGAATGGCAGTTATTGATATTTAGTCTAGTTTTATTGTTTTATATCAAATATCGTCTTTCCGGACTAAGAGTTACTCTAAACTTGTACCGCACTTACGATCCCTACGTGCCACCGCTTTTGACGTGATACTGTGCACGCGGAGGCCCTAGTGAGAGTAGAAAAGGATTTGGGTTTCTGGTCCTTCGTTGTCGGCGTATAAATTTTACAAGTTCTTCACACAGGCATTGCGATTTATAATGAGATGTCGCTTTCTCCACAATAACGAGAGTCAGAGAGCTGGAACTTTGTAATGAAATTTATCCCACATGTAGGTAGCACTTAATCAGGTCTAGATGAGTACTCATGAGTGCTAAAATACTCAAAAAGATTAGGATAAGTACAAAGTTCATAGTTATCAGACTACTTTTTATTGTGGAACTTACTAACACCACCCATGCACTTTACATACCGGTGTGCAAATAATATAGTTTTTTACTTATTCACAACGCTACACAGAGTGCACTCCGCTTTACTTTATGAATTCAAGAAAAAACGTGTGGTAGATGTGCCATTCAAATGGCTCTCGAGCCACCTGAGCAATGTATGTTATAAACTTTATCTATCAATAAAAGAAAATATTACGTGAACATGACAATCAAGACCTAAACTCTCATAGCAGTGGAATTCACACAATACTATATAAAGTAATCACATAGTGAGACTAATAAGAACAGAATTAACAAAAAAACGAACAAAAGCGTGATAAAAACGAAAGAATAAAAAAGACTAGCAGTACGGAAAACAAAAATTTATCAAGAACAACAAGAAAAAAGAACAGGAAAAACGTAGAAACAAAGTATGGCACTTAAGAGGCAGAAGCCACAGGACGAAACTATAGAAAGTTTCGAATACCTCTTTCGCGCGGTCATTTTTTATGTCTAATAATTTTAGTTGATCCTTGCTAGGCTAGATTTGAAAGGGGCGATCCGAAATGGTTGAACAATAGCTAAATTATCTAGCTTCTTAACTCTAGCTAACGGGACATACGCTGAGGCAACTTCCAATGATGGAGGCGGAGGAGGAAGGACTAAATCTACAGCGATGAATCTACAGCTGTCTCATTTATCTGGAGAGCACATATAACTTATTATCGATATTCTTGCAAACCACACACGACCTAAGACGTAAAGCGAATTTCTCATAAACAGTGTATGACATAAGAATAAAGAAACTCCAATGCAAATATACCTATGAAATTTGGTTAGTCTCTGAACAGGAATTTGCACAGAACTTGAAACAGTTATCTGACCATCATTATTATTGGACAACTCCATTGAGCCTTTAGTATGATGAATCTCCATAGTCTAAACAATTTATGAAGGACGAAACGGTCTCATATATATTAACAAATATGGTGAGATGCATACTTCAGAATTATTTCGATCATTATCAATACCGACATTAGCTTGAGCGTCTTGCGTGAAACTCTTAAAGTCATTCATGTCTTTTTTATGCATTTGACTCATATCGACGCAACCGATAATTTCAGGATGAAAATTTTAGCACAGCAGCGCTGTCTCTCAAAATGTCATAATGCAAACACTTTCAGGACTAATTTGTACAAATAAAACAGCGGCAGAAACAGTATCTTCTTGTTATCGTCGATTATTTTACTCGTTGGGTAGAGGTTTTTCCCCTTCGTACCACCACGGCTTCCGACAATTTACTCAGATACTGCATCAACAATAATCAATAACAACATTCTCTTTGTTCTTCTAAAGCAGAGTCGAGCCAGTCCGACCACTTCCAAGTCCAACTCCAACTTGAATGTGCCAGATTTTAATTGCTTGGACTCAGGGGTGGACAAGTCCAAGTCCGGACTTGAAGCTTTTCTTTCTAGCTTCTGAGTAACTCGTTTTTTTCCTGAGTAACTGAGTTACTCAGAAAAAATTTTAGCCATAAAATGCATTACTCAATGAAGTCTCAATAAAGCGTTACTTAATAAAACCTACCATTGAATAGCCCTTGAAATTCTCTACAAATTGAACTGGTTAGAATATCCAGACAGCTTGGATCACTCATTAAAGATATGAAAACGAAGCGTTCGGGTGTTATCTGTGCAGTACAGTGTGTCATAATCACAAGAACTCCACTGTTTGATCTTTTAGTAAAGACTGGAATCAATCTGAATACTGTTTTGAATAGTCCGAAGATTTTCTATCACATGAGGTGCGCATTGCCGCTTCATGAGAAAAGTTGGTAATAGAATTTCCGGAAAACGTGAGCGCTAGAAAAGCAAGTCCTTGGTTTTTAGCCAGAAAATTTTCCAAACCATACATCCCAATGGAGCATAAAATTCTGAGAAAAATAAGACATCTCCCGGCGGCTACAATGCTTTTTCACGCAATTGCAGTCGATTTACGAATGGTCACAAGGGGCGTGGAAACTATCAAACAAATACGGTGAAAAAGTATTGTAAACCGCCGGGAGATGTAGGCTATCCAATGATGGATTTTTGATAAATACACACTGTTTCATTATGACAGAAAAATGACTAAAGCAGTGTTTAAAGCACTAAGATAGATAAAAATCATTATATCGGCCAAGTATTTCGACTATTGACCCATGTGTGGATACTTCTGAAAGACTTATTTATAGCTCATTTTGAAGCCCGTGAAATTCTTTATCGAATGATATACAAAGTAGGGTGGTTAACGACAAAATCAATGGATATTATGATCATTTGCATATGCTTGAGTTTCGACATAAAATTCTTTTTGAGAGTTTGATAAAACTTAATAAATCAGTTTCGTTTGCACATGTAGAAACCAATAGCTACGTCTTGTGAGCCATATTTTGTTTAACAGTGGTAGTAATAGTCAAAAGTGATACGTGTCAAAAAAACCGTGAAGAAAGATTTGACCACTACACACCGCTACCGTTTATATCTCAACGCCATGTAGGGTTCTTTACACTCGTACCACACGTCAATCGTGTTCAATTCTGTTGTTGACAGAAAGAAAACGTTTTCCAGGATCAATTCTGCACAACAAATATAAAAAAGGATAACCCATTATCACCACCGGTGGTGTCAACAAGGAGCTATGGCCTCCACTAGGACATGTCAAGTTGAACTACTGGCTACACCCAGAGGTATTAATTAGGGCTACTGCTACCGGCGATGCTGTCAACAAGAGGCTATTGACACCACCCACTATCAAGCTAAGTCATAGAATAGATGGTGTCAACTACGGCTACGGACACCACCAAGTAATTTTAAGAATGGAGGTATCTACTCCTAAGGGACGCATAATCCTGAAGACTATTGGTTTGCAGCTTCCGTGCCATGTTTAGTGGCTTTCGTGTTCTTTTTATATCATTTTAAGTTCTTTGTTTGTCTTAGCAATGAGTATTCCGTCGATGAGCCAGGTTTGGATTCCACAATGTTAATTTCGTTCGTATCACAGTTACTTTCACTAAGGAAATTGAGGAGTTTTGTCGGAGAAACGTCGGGTTTTTTTGTGTACAGGAGGAGGTTTATAATTATCAGACTCTTCACTTGGTATTAAAAAATTCACAACCCACTCGAAAAACATCAGAACGGGTTGGAAACTATAGGAGATAGCTAGGGGTGGACATTTAACATAATTATATGCTTGAAAAAGTTAAAAAAGCATGTTTTCGATCAAAAGTTTTCTGGAAGCGCTTCCGAACAACCATAGAGTTTTGTGATTTTTTGCGAATTTCGTATAAGTAGGATATAGAATACCGTAAGTTTTGTACATTCTGATGTTTTTCGAGTGAATTGTGAATTTTTTAATATCAAGTGAAAAGAGCCTGAAAACCTCAGTTTTGATAAAACTCTGTTCTCACCCTGTTTTTGATTCCTTTTTGCAAGAAAAACATTGCAATCAGATCCAGTGTGGTCGATAACGTATGTTCCATTCGCTTTCAAGACTATCTGAAGCCACTGGATACCAGTCCTCAGTTCCAAGGAATCGGATACCACGCTCGAACCACTGAAAATCAAGTTCACGCTTGATCCCCATTTTGAGGAGGACACCTTGGATTATCTGTCCATGAAGAACATCGCAAGTATTTGCACCTGGTGTTTCACAGATCTCCTCGAAAATCTACTCTAAAAATGTATTTGGAATTGACATCTATTATAAAAATGTGCCTCAAAGTCTCTTCTTTTGATTAGTGAAGATCCGAACTCTCTATCACATTCCTCTGTAGCAAAAACAGTATTTCCTCTGTAAAAAAAACTGTGTAGCAAAAATATTGTCTGCCTTCTGGTATTTATGATGCGAATGATCGAGAGTACCTCTACTGAACTAGAAGAAACTACTAGTGACCTGCGGCATTGTTCGTCGAAATGTTCTCAACTAATATAGCAACTTAACGAGGAGGCAATTGCGTGCGGACTGTTTATTGAACCCACGCGCATTCTCAGTCAGTTTGTCATAAGCGATGAAC